ACATACATACATACGTAACGGATGAAGAAAGTAAGTGGAGTGGAGTGTGGGCTATATTTTAGTCAATGTATTGGTTGAAATGCATGATTTACGAGTGGGCGAAAAAAGCTTTCAACTTATGGCAGTGTAAAAGTCAAACATGGAAATGTAAAATGGTGCCGGGGCCGATCTTATTTGTTCGAAGGCGTCAATTTCATCGTTTCATCGTGTCCAAAAGTTTGTATTCCGTTCAATAAAACATGCAAATGGATGATTCCATTTATGCCATTTATATAAAATTACATACACAATCTATTTACGAGTATTCAGCAGAATTCTGAATTTGGTGGAAATAATTATGTTTGCAGAGAAATGAGGAAATAAAGCGTGGTTGTGGGTAGAAAAGGGTTGACACATTCAATGATCTCATAAATTGAGCAAATGAGATTAGACAAGATTAATCTTATCTTAATTGCAACCATTTGTTATCATTCGGAAGTCATTTATTATTCCACTCATATCAAGTGTTTACCCGGATGGGAATTAAGATAAGGTGAAAAAGACATTATGCGCAGTAGTATCAACAGTCTTATCGTGATATTAATATTGAACTCTTAATAAGTAAAAAGGGTTAATATTACGTCTCACAGCACAACCTTCCCGATTATCTTTTCAGTTGAGGTAGATCATCATTTACTCTGCCAGAAGAAGATCAGTTTGAATGATTCTGTAATTACTTTTCCAAATTGTGGAAGTAATTTAATGTGAGATATGAATTCGTAATATATAAATAAATACGTCACATTAATTAACGACTCGAATTATGTTACACATTAATTTACTTAGTTAGGCAACATTTTCATAGATAAATTCATGGTTTTTGTGTCCCCTATTTCTGTTTTTAGACACAACTTTAACCTTCAACTTGTATAGAATAACGTCATACATATTTTTTAACCCCCTCGAAATTGAGTTGTCCAAAAGTTTTTTAATCTCGGATTTTTGTTGTGACTTTGGTAACCATGGACAGAGAAAGACCATTCCAGAGAATTTACTTTCATATTCCACTTCACTTCCTTTCCTGTGAACGTACATACGTATGAATGACGTCGGGTCGGGTATTTTAGGTGATCCATCACAAAAAAAAACACGAACGACATACATGATTGGTTTGTAGTAAGGTCGCCTAGAACAAAATGCGAGTCGCTCATGTCAGGCTAGAAAGTTTTTTTAATGGATAAGTAAGAGAAAGAAAATGGGATCGGAAGTCAAGTCCGGTGTAATGACTGCATGAACGTAATGAAAGTCTGCTCAGACCACACACACAACTTTGTTTCGTATTTTTTTCATAAAGGAGTTTTTGACTTGGGCTTTATAAAGAAGGAGTTTTTGACCTGAAAGAATTCTGTAAATTCAATAATTTAATAATAATTTCCCGTCGCATTTTTACCACGATTAAAAGGAATGAATGCATTTCAAAAAGTGAGGGTCGATCAGCCCCTGGTTATAAAAATTGATGTTCAACTCCTCTCCTCCTTTATACAAGAGTACAAATTCTCAAAGTTGTGTTCGATAATTTCAACCCTACGGCATTTTCAATCAAATCAACTCGTCTAACTATTTAACAATCAGAGCAACTTGGTATAAATAGTTGAAAGTTTACGCCATGTAACTTTTTCTCAAGGAATGGGAGCAAAATGTAAAAATTCCTCAACATTGTGTGTATATTATATACAGTTTATGCTTTAATAAAAATTTATGCTTAAATTTTCTCACCAACTTTTATACAGCCAAATTGATATCAATTTGCAAAAAAAAACTCTAAATTCGCATATAATCTTATGACTTTTAAATGACCTTCTCCAATAAAGCGAACAAAATTTCCCAACAACCTACTAAATTTAAGACGAATGATTTCCTCCAAATTGTGCTGTTATTACTTCCAGCGTCCTGTGTCAGTCTGTGAATTTATAGCCATCTTTTAAGTGCTCTGTGGTGTTCGTTTGGTATTAAAGAGAGGACATAAATTTTAGCCCGACCACTTTCCCAGATTTACTACTTTCTAGCCCAACCAAATTGCTGGATTTCTCTTTAAATCGTCATCCCATCTGGAAAGTGGACGCTTTATGGAATTTCGTGTCTTCTCCGTCTTTACCAAGAGGCAAGAATTTCTCCATGTAAAGGGGGACATCAAGGGTTAATGGGACAATAACAAATCAAGGGTTACACAACTATTGTTCGTAATAATGACGATGATTTCCTCCTCAAGAGAAGTACGCAAAGGGAGCTTCTGTGGATCACTGCTCAATGTCAATGAGATCCTCATCATCATCATCATCTTCATCCCTTAATGTTTAATGCCTACTTAATTGTTGTTAACATTTGCTCTTGATTCTAGATTAGCATCATCGCCTTGGTTGGGATGAAAAAACGCGATCGATTCTCTCTTGGGTGGGATTCGGTTGGGATTTTTACTTCATTTCCTTTCGTGCTTGTCGGATCCTCATCCAAAACCTCAAGTGTCCGGTTAAGCGGTTAGTTAGGGTTATGCGACATGCGATCCTTCCTTGAGCCTCACTCCTTTTTGACCATTTGATCGCTGGCAACATGCCTTCAAGATATTTCACTAAAGAACTATCGAACAGAATATTATTGATGGTCTCGAGCAATAAAAGATTCAAGTTTGTTACAAAATCATCACGTTTAAGGAGGAAGTACTTTTCGAAATATTTTCACCAGGGGGTTTAAAAAATCCTTTAATTGGATTAAATTAGAGCATCTGCTCTATGTATTAATAAGGAGGCACATTTTAAAAATCATTATATGCCTGCGCCTACGACATTAAAACTTGTCCATTAAACTATCCACCAATTTATTTGGAGGACTGATGATGATGATGATTGTATTAATTAAATGGGGAAACAATAATTACCTGAAAACTGTATGGTTTACGAACACACACATCCATTCGACACAAATAGGAAAGATCTCTCACAAACGATAAAATAATAATATAGGAGTCAGTCTTGCGTATAAGACATCAAAAAGTTGGTACATATATACGTACATGACAATTTCCTACATACATCCCCCTCGACGTGTGTGTATCGCTCTTGTGTAGCTACATGGGTTTAGATTCCTTATCTCGAATCGACGACTACGCCACGGTCCGTAGGAAAGGTTGTCTTTTTTGGTTGTGGTTCCAGCCAGTTGAATCAGTCAGGCTATAAATTCTTACCTAAAAGCCTCAAAAGTTGGAAACTGCGTGAACGGAAACATTTATCTCGTCCGGGATGAAGATGAAAGTGAAATTTTGGAAATGTTCAATGCGTTTGAAAGATTTAAAGGGGTTTTGTTTCGGCTCAACCGACCATTAATATTTGGGTCCACGTTTATAATTGTGATACGTACAATAGAATGTAAGGATGTGGAAAGTCAACGAGGGGTGATTTATTACCAAAATTCGCACAATTACATTTCGCATAGCATGTCTGTCGCATAACTTAGGAATGTATGCAAGTTTTAACTGATTTCCCAATTTCTCAAATATCAGATCACTCCCAACCAAGTGGAAACCTTTTTTATACTTTATTTCACCTTTGAGGAAGCCGTCGATTTGTGTGGTGTCAGCCTGTCAGTTGTCCTATCCTCAACCCTTTTTTCCTCCAAGTTTACCCAAAATGTCAAGAAAAGAGTTAATTGCTGTTAATAAAGTAACACTGATACTTAACTGGGCTGGATTTTTTCTCAACTTCCTCCCATTGTATCTCCCATCGTCTGTTTACTTTGTTCTATTTTTCCCCCTGAAGAGGAAACTTCGTCGCAGTGGAGTTATTATTTTTTACAAAGCGAACCAAATGCGATCCGATTTTCGATAACACCAACATTTCTAAAGGATTCATTTAATGTGCTTTTTAGAATTCCTAAGGATCCTAATGAGCCTAAAGTGAGCGCTGGCGGCCCCGAGTCAACTACACCTTTAATTCAGAGTCCAATCATAATAATTCTTCCCTTTCCAATACCTGTCACAATCTCACTTTTGTCAAATAAGGACCCAATAAATATTGCAAACTAATCTCACGTACCAATTGCACTTCTCGACCTAACTAATGAACTTTCACCAATTATTTGGCCACATGTGTATCACGTTCGTATTTATTAACTAACTAGTTTGGAGAAAAGTCTCATTTTGTGCGGAATGAATTGCATGCCAGTTGCCGCAGGACGAAATTACCCTCGTGTGCTACCTTTTTACTCCACCACGACTCTTATTGCATTATCATATCGTGCTGACAAACCAGAAAAAGAATAAGTGATTCATCTCACTAACTGATGGCACTCACGACACATACCGCACCGTGTCTAATTCTTGTTACCCTTCATTATAAATTTCTCCCCTGTAATATCCATCTACAAATGTCTCTAATAATGGGACTTTTCTCGAAAGAAAATGACAATCGAATTTTTAAGGGGACTTGAAAATTCTCCGGAAAATTCCAGTATTCTCCCACCAGTAATTACTTACTCACCTAACTTTCTCCCGTCATACCAACCTAAAAATACTTTCTCTTTTCCACAATTTTATCAAAAAATTCCAATTTAATTCCTTCTTTTGCATCAATCTATCTCGTGAGAAGAAGAGTGGATCGCGTTGTTCAAGTCGACGATTGGTCGACGCAAGACCAGCCTTCTCCACCGTTGTGAAACAACTCCTCTTACCAGCATGGGGCCAACGGTAAGCCCAACCCATGAGCCAACCCTCTCCTCATAAATCATTCTGATCTTTGTGAACGAACGCTAAGTCGACGAGCGAGCTTCTCGCACCGTTTGCAAGTTGGCGTTGGTTGGTGTATCCAGGTGAGACGATCGAGAAGCCCTCACCTGTATTTTCCCATTGTTCTCGTGTTATACACATCCACATACATTTGTACATGCAACGCTTGGTTCGTTATTTGTGAGAACTTGCTTGCTTGCTTGGCACCCTTTACGAGAACTGGTGGTTTGGTTACTACTCCACTTTTGAGTTTTGACTTTACGTCTAAACTCTAGTTGTTCCGTGACTGCTGGAGAGAGAAGAGGTGGCTTGTTAACAGAAAGGCAGTGGTAGATTCGTGTGTGTACTAATTCACGAATTGAGATCACGACATTATTACGCTAATTGTCACGACATATTTATCCTACGCACTCATCTTCTTCTGCCTGACAATGACCGGATAAGTTGGGGTCAAGTGAGGATCCGTGATTTTAAATCGTTCATATCAAGATATTACACGTACTCATATCAAGCAGCCTTCCGGTTTGTGAGACACTTCCAAAAAACTGAAACATATCTGCGTGTGAAATTAATTAATTTTGTGAATAAGGAAATAAATAGCGACTAAATAATGACATTTGTATGTATGTAATGGTTGAGAATTTTTTTAAATCCAGTCTCAATTTAGACGAAATAATATCAATAATATGCAAATCTGTTGAATTATTGATACAATTTAGACTTGTGACATTGGTGAAAGTAAATTTTGGACATGCCCTTAAAAACCAGAGAATGTGAAACTATGCTGGCTTAAAACGTCTTGGAACTTTCTCCATTGCGAGTGAAAATCACTGCGAGGGATTTAAAATTCCATACCGATTTTCGAGATTCCAAATTTTTACAAATGTTGAACGTGAGCATGAACCAACTAGGAACCGTTTATGCGACAAAGCGGCGGAGAAGGAATGGCAAAAGGTTAGCAATTTTAAAAACATTTTTTAAGAAACTTTCAGAAATCTTATTTACAAATTTCTTTCAAATTCGTATTACAAAAATTTTATTTTGATATGATTAAATATTTCTGTTGAAATTCCTTATTTTGTAACGATTTATCTCTCGTTTCATCAAAACTCTAAAAAATTAAACAGTTTGTGACTCAACACTTGTCACCTTAATTTATTTGAGCATTGTCTGTCAGTTTGTATGTATTGTAAATAAGTCATAAAATGATTAAGACTCTCTTGATCGCGTCTCCTGATTATTTGATACGTTGATTCAGTTTTTGCTCTACTTTTATGTCTGTAATAAGTACGTAGCTTTCTGCTGCTCTTGGCTACTGACCAATCGTCGTCAGTCAGTCAGTTGGCATTGGTTTTGTCATATTTTACTTGTTTAGTTATTATTCCTTATTCATTGTCTTGTCTCACTCTGGTTTGTTGCGCCACCTCCCTTCATCACTGCCACAATCATATCTTGGATCAAATCAGGATTCCAATTAAAGCTTTTCTGTTAAAATTTCAGTTAATGTGGTTTTGTTTGTTGGCACTATTATGAAATAAATGAAACTTTTATTTGCACAAATGTCGCACACGTTGCAGCAACGTAGTGTCAAGTTGATCTTATTAAAGTAGATTTATTCGACGGTATTATCGTTTTAGTTTAAGTTTGAATCAAACTGTTTGATTCTGTTATCTATATATTTAACCAAATAATACAAAATCATAAAATTCTTAAAATCGGCGTCAAATATTGAAAAAATCATAAATCATTCATAAATGCAAAATTTGCTTCTCCTCCTTCACTACTTTCACTCTTAAATAAACAACCACGTCAATAAAACTAGCATCATATTTATGATACAATTCCTCCTAAACGGCACTTTAACACATGTTTAAAGTCAAAATTGGAAGAGTTGCACTCAATACAATCTCACAACCACAAAATAAGGCTGATTTACTACCACAATTCATTCATAAAGATGTACACACACATGTCCACCACACCACGTATGCTTTCGTGACGACAAGTAATAACACCTCCTCTCATACTTTTTTTTTGCAAATTTGCATCGATTTTTATTACACCAGATGAATCAAAACATTAGCTAATTTAGAACCTCGTGTTCTTACTTCATTCATTCACAAGTACAAAAATCCGTGTCTGAGACCATCATTCGGGACGAAGAGACTGATAATCGAAGGGTTAAAAGTCATTCAATAGTCTGAGTCAGTTTTTGGAGAAAGATCGTGACAGAGCCCATTCCGTGCATGGAATATCTAAATGGTCAAACTTGCCCTACACATATTCACGCTCCATGTTTTGCAGCAATAGAATAGCAATTTCCAAGCAGTAGTAGTGGTCTGGTAAAATAATGGTAAGGCGTAAGGCAAGACCTAGATTCCCTGCTGGATGTTAGACCAACCGAACCACCACCACCACCGCTAACAACATTGCATGTGCATCTAAAATGCATTTAAGCAATCTTCTCTCATTCAATGAAGTTGATGAACATTACACACGTTAACACGCAGTTTGGTTTTGAACTTGTTACATATTTTGCGTGTGCTATTTTCAGATTCTGTCCGATGCGACGGCCAACGACGACCTTGCAAGGTCTTGTCGTTAAATGGTTAACTTTGCGTTCGTTCGTTTTTACCTCGCTGCCACGCTACCTCACCTCACTGATAACTGGCTGTCATCATTCATCACGAAACGCTGAGAAATGTACGGCACCGAGTACAGTGGAGTGCCACCAAAAAGTGGGTACTCGTACATACATCAGCCTCTTGAACAAATATGTGTTACAGAAATTTTTCCTCTCAAATTATTTCATCATTATGAAAAAAACAAAATTTTGCATAACATAAGGGCCCGATAAGTTAGGCGTTAAAATGGCCAGGCTGGTAGGCCGGTCTAGGAGACAGTAATTAATAGCGGGGGGACGTTGATGGGGTCATTAATAATTGACGCTCAACATCTCCAAGGGCGGGGCTATACCGGGCTAAAGAACATAAATCTTTTTACAGTGCTTTTCTACGATGCTGCGGTTTTATTAGCCGTTAGTGTTGCGAGTTGTCAAACATTAAAATAATGAAATCTTACTTATTTTTCTCTTGAAGAGAATAGAAAACTTTTTTAACGGGAACAAATGCTTCGATTCGAATCAAATACTTGCCAGATTGTCTCTCAGACATTATGTCTCAACTTGGCTCATTGTTAACAAATGCATATTCTTACGCAATAAGAAGAAAAAGAAGCAATTATTTCTCCAATAATAAACCAAACCCCCGACGATTCTTGCTCATCCATGTGAGTCATTCCTTCATCTATAATATTTAAGCAGACAACTGTATTTCCCATTCTTCATTTTCCGAAAGACACAACACCACCATAATGTCGATAGGGTTAAATTCATGAACTTTTACATTGGTGCACATACACACAAAATATACGAGTTTCTTCTTATAAACGAGCCTCAGTCGTTTGGGGTGGTAGAAAAAAACACCAAAACAGTTCACTTACTATTATGTATAACTTTGTTGGGATACCTCACCTCGTATTTTTTCTGATTACTTACCTGTGTTGTGGATGTTAGTTCTCTCCTGAATATTATTTGCTGGTAAAAATTCCTCTCTCTCGCTTAAAACTTGGGACTCATTCTGCATGAAAAAGTCATAACTTTCGGACCTAAATTGTGTTGTATGGGCTTATGAAAGTCAAATCTACAATTCTAATGCAGCACTCTTTTCCTATGTGTGTGTGTATACATGGGAAATACGTACACGGTAAATGTGGGACTCGTATTATTCACACACAAACACGGGTGTGTTCTCACTTCTTTGGGTAATTTTATTTAAAATTCAAAATTCACAACTTGACTAAAACAACGTGCACTAAAATTACTTTCCATCCACGACACTGCTACATGGTACGACCAACTTGAAACACATTACATTCTCATCTCGTAAAGGGAATGAATGAATAATTTGGTGGAATTATTCTCGCGAGTGACATAATAATATTTATTCTCCTTTTAGACGTCTCACTTATGTACTTGAATTGTTTGTTGGTTTTCGTAAATGTTCAAGACTTGATTGTTGACGTATTGTGTTTTGTGAAATTTTCATATTTTAGAAATTTATTAAGTAAATATAATGAAATAGCAAATTGAATTTGCGATAATCAAATGTTTACAGAATTATTACAATTCGAGACCTACAAACTCTATTATATTTATTAAATTACCAAATTCTACAATTTGGCGTCAAATATTAGCAAAAAAATCAATCGCAATTGCAAATCTTATTTAAAATGAGAATGCATTTATCAATAACAACAAATACAAAATTAATCAATTTCCACGTCTCCATTAAATACAAAAGGTGTAAACTTTGCATAACTGATTTCAATCGTAGATATCATCACCTCATTTTCATGTATGAATTATTACGTTAAACTGCTTTTGAATTAATGCTTTCCTTTCCAAAGAAAAGAAACGAGGTGAGGATGACACCTCAACAAATTGTTGTTATGTACATTATCATGAACACATTTGTACCAACATGTCCATGTTTTTGACGTGTTGCTCCTCACTTTTACCAGTCAAACCACACCAGAAAAACCAACATTTGTTCCCACTTCATTCAAACCCATATAAAAATAAAGTAGTAAAATTCCTATCAAGCAAATGGAGCAAGTTTATGATCAGTAATAACAAGAATGAGTAGCTTTATAACTAAATGATGTTCATCCATGCACAAACTTACGTTCCTAGCTGCATGCTTAATAGTTGTGGCATCACATCATTAAGATTAAGATTAAATAGGACGAGTCACCGCGGATAAGATTGAGATTCTAGATTCCTCTGCAACCCAACTTAATCCCAAATTTTAAATCAAGTTGTAAATTTAAAATTAAATTCATCACTAGAGAAAAACAATCTACGAGATAGCGGTCGTGGTGGCAGTAATGAAGTGGAGAAGAATTACTTACTTTTTGTTGGTTTTTAAGTCCTTCAGTCTCAGAAATCTGGTAAAACAAGCAGAGATTCGTTCGTATTAATATTTTTACTGTTGACTGAAGAAGCAGCAGCAGCAGACGTAGTTTCAAGTTTCGTATCGTAAGTTTAAGCGTATAGTTAAGCTTTGAACAAGATGGACAACATTTTAAAATCCATGAAACCCAAGGCGCCTCTGTTTTCTGGAGTAATTATGAGGACTGTCTGCCGTGGCTGCTCATCTTTTTCGAATAATATGATTTTCAGCCCTTGTAGTAACATGAAAAATCTCTGAATTTCGTTGCCCTCCTCAAATCCGTATAACAATACCAGCCCAATTTTTGATTAAAAAAATTATTACACAAGTTACCTAAAATTTCGCATTTTACTACAACACTTACATAAAAAAAACTCGTCTCTTATATAAACCATAAAGTTACCACAGGCGTGAAATGCAAATTTATTTTTACTTTACTAAAGTAGAGGTTATACAATACGAAACGGAACCCACTATGGCTATTAATCTCATTTAAATCCTAGATTCACTTCTCATCGAATTTTTCATGGCAAGGTGAGAGAAGTATGCGAAATGGTGATGTAAGTTGAAAATAGGATGAAGAATTGTCTCGGTTAAAGTTATAAACTGTTTTAATAATTTTGTGAGAAAAAAACGAAAAGAAAAACTGCGAGCAGAAAGAAAGGGTAATATTACATTATGTATTAAATGCGGTTATATAAGTCTGACGGGGATGTGCAAGGTTTCATAATATTTTATGTATAACGTGAAACAACGAGATATTTTATGGGAGAAAATGGAGATGGTATTATTCACGGGTTATTTTTTTTACCTAATGAAATGATCTATATACATACATATTCCGAGACAAAAGAGAGTTCAAATCTGTACCTGTAGGAAAGAAAATCTGGATTTTAAACCTCTTATTTTTATAATCCCGAGGTGCTCAAAAGGGAGATGATGAAGTGAAGAAGTCGTGTGATGAATGAGTTTAAGGGTCACCACCACCAAACCGTGTGCTTAAGGATTAGTCGAACCAAGGGTTCTCTGCCAAAGTCATAACTTATATGCAACAACGAGCTCACAGTAAATTCTAAATTTGTTTAAATGAGATTATGAAGTTTTAATTTCGTCTTAAACCTCAGGGGGCATTATCCTCTCGAGTACTTAGCAGCATTTATTACGCTATCTGTTACAAGCATTTTAAAACATCTAGCTGACAACCTATTCAAGAGAGGAATTATTTATTGGATTTAATTAAATGGGAGAAAATTATATACAAATTATTGCGCGAGTTGTGCGTAATATCTTTAATAAATAGAAATCAGAATGGAATAAAAAAAATCTTGATTTTCTTAATGAGAGGTTTTTTAGGGTGGGTATCAAAAATGTACTGTTCCACGTTTTTCATGTGATACTGCTCAAGCTAAATTTTTGTAAAAAAAATCGTTCATTTTAGATAATTACGATTAGGACAAGGCTATCACTATTTACTACTGTTTCCCATCGCTTACCGAATTGTTCAGCAAAATTTCAAGTTTCCACAAGAAACATAAGTCTGAAACCTAGTAATCGCATGTAATTATCATTAAACTTCTGGATCTACTGGATGATTGCCCGTGTCATTATTCCATTGGAGAGCATTTTTCAGTAGAGTTTGACATTATAATTATACTTACACAGAAGGGTTGAGACTGTGTAGGTTTGGGTCTGCTATTTACAAAAAAAGTCCAAAAATTTTACGAAACCAAGTTTCATTCTTCTCTCTACCTTCCGTCAAAGCGAGTCAATGAATGGTTTAAAAGTGCATAATTTTTACGACAACATTAACCAACATAAAAGTAACAAGCAGATACAATTGGTGAGGTTGGGGTAGTCCTGCTTATATATTTTCAACAGAAGAAGAAGAAGAGTGACTTATTTTCCCTACGGATCGCCACTAGTGAGACATTTAAGTGTGGAAACCGGTCCTTTAAAGGGTTGTTCCAGTCTCCATAAAATGTTTGTAATGATCTTCTCCAGTCTCATTATTACCGTTAAAGTGTATTATATTGTATGAACCTTCATAAAGACTGCTGTGTCTGCTGTTCCGTATTTCAATTGCTCAAATTATCTGTATGTATACTCCCTGAGAATTAGTCAAATATGCCGAAATATTGTTGCCCTTATTATCATTGTGCGATACGTACATAAATAAATATACAGAAATCTTCCCTTCTTTCTTTCCACCAACTTTCTTTAATAACTCGAAACATTTATCTCAACCCAAATAACGAAGGACGCCATCATGACACAGAAATATTAAATCTCATTCCGATTTTCTGTTTGATTTTGATTGTTCTTCGTCCAGAATTAGTTTTGTCCGACTCTTATTTATTTATGTACAAGTCTAGTAGAAAGAACCTTTTTTATGATGGTGATCATTTACGTGGGCGAAAATCAGGCTTGATTACGCTTAAGCATCAATCACAACCCTTTCATTTATTTTGTGAGCACTGTTCTTGGCTTCCATCCATCCACCACACCGCAGACAGGAAGGGGAACTTGGACGTGCACAGCATTTATGTATAAATTAAGATTGAAATGCATTTATCGATTTTTACTATTGATACTCCATTTTTTTTTTACTTTTTGTCTCCCATGCTCTTTGCCTTACCTGAATAGAGTGAGGATGCTAATGAGTGTGTTCAACATTGCGAATAAAATAGTGACCTTTGGCTTTACATTTTCAGTATCAAGCCACCGCCCAAGGATGGAATGACAAAGAGCAACCCATCCAAGCGACATCGCGAACGGTTAAATGCCGAGGTGACATACATAGATTTATTCAATAATTAGTAAATATAATAATTAGTAATATAATAATTTTTTTAAATTTTAGCTTGACAATTTGGCATCTCTTTTGCCATTCGAACAAAACATTTTGAGCAAATTGGACCGTCTGAGTATGTATTTTAAATACTTGTGACTTCTTATTTTTAGACTATTTTTTGTACCTAATTTACATTTTCTCACATTCTAGGCATCCTCCGACTAGCGGTTTCCTACCTCCGGACGAAATCATACTTTCAAGGTAAGCGATCTTTACGTAATTGATTATTTGGCACAATATCGACCAACTAATATTGATTTATTATTATGCATGATGATGATTATTATGTACGACAATGGCAGTGATGATGATGATCATGTGAAAATTATTATATTGTGGATGCAGAAAGAGAGACTTAAATTCATCAGAGACAAGCTTAATGAGAGCTCTGAACAATTTCTGTGTATATAAATTGTGGCTGTGAGGGCATAGCCTTCTGTACAAGGACAAATTACTTCCGACGACCGGTTTGTTTCTGTTTCTCCCTTTTTGGTAATTGACTCGAAAACAGATGTTTACTAGTCGACATTTTAATTGATTATCTCTGCTGTGGCCTTACCTCATCTCTCTCTTGTCGGTATATCATTCAGCCTGATGGGAAGAAGAAGAAGGGGATGGAATAAAAGGGCCTTAAGGGGTATTCTGACACCTGTGATTGCACCATCTTTCATCCTCCTCTCTCTCAAAATTAAACTAAAAGTGTTAATTGAAGATTTCTATTCTAATTTCTAATTTCTAATTAAAGGTGTCAGATCTGACAAATTTGACGCAATTATTTTTTCCAAGAATTCTCTTTCATGCTAATGATCTGATTTTATTAGTATTAAGGGGGAAACCTTGCCCTATTTATTTCTTACTTGGTGTCGATAACGAAATCCATCCACCCACCCTCGAACTCCTGGTGACTCTCGAACAAGGCAGACTTTTACAATACAAACAATTTTGTGAAAGGTTTGACAAGACAAATATTTATAAACTTGCGTCGGTATGGGTTCACCGTTCTTAAGGACCGCCTGCCAGGGCTCTCTCAAATTTACTCATTAGGCACACTTTATACCGACCAGTCGACACAAAGGGAACCACGGTAGCACACACAATAGCAGCCCCACACCACTAAAAGAAAATCAAATACTTGTTGGTTTTGATTTTTTGACACGAGATTAATTTGGTCGGTTTACTTGCTTAGATTGGAAATAGCGAGATCAATATTAAGGGACCTCACCTCGTAACAGCAGCAACTTTCTCCTCTCCAGACCGGATTTAATAAACATAAAATGCCCAAAATTTTGATTTAATTTAGTCATCCACCTCTGCATACGCCCCACAGGATTGACACAATAAAGCCAGGTTTTGACTTGACAGGAGAAGTTGTTTGTTTGTTGGAGGAGAACGATACAGGTGAAAGTGACTCTGACTTTATACTCATTCAATTTATTGGTATGGATTAGAATGGAAGGAGATTTATTATTTTTGAAAGGATTTTTGTGTCGGGGTGTAAAATAAAATCTACACCTGAAAAAAACACCATGTTAGTTGAACAGGCGAAGCAAAAGTACATAAATGCTAATTCAGGTAAAGCGAGTGTAATGTGCTCCGTTCCCATGATTCATCATCCTGTCAACGTGTCACGTCTTCATTTCTCCCATTACTTATTTCCACCTCGGACACAAAACCAGACCAAAATCCCATTTTCTCATGATGATGACGAGTTTATCATCAAAAGTATATGAAAATTCATAACATCCGGATTTTCGGGGAAATTCACCCTTCATCAATAAGTAGTTACAGATATTTAGCTAACTCTTGTTTCAACGTGTGAGTGACCCCCCTCTGCACCAAAATTCCTCTCACAAGTTATCAAACTAAATTCCAAACTTTCTCGAGAGAAAGGTATCTCAAACGTTCGATTTCACTTTCATTTCATTCCGTCCACCACCACTTTTACTCGGTGTGTTTCCAAAGGTCTGCTGATCCATGGTGGTATGATACCCGCGATCGGTGTGTGGTGTGCTGTCCCTGCACCGAATAACGAATTACCTTCATGAATAACTAATCGAACATGAAGAATTAATGGCAAAATGTTGAGTAAATGTTCCCTCTTCTCTACCCTAATATTATTACACTCCCTCCAGTCCTATCACCCACCATCACTATCTACCGCACTGCACAATAATGGACAGACTAGCTACAAATAAAACAAACAAATGGAAAATACACCGAATAATGAAGATGAAGTGAATTGTGACTTGTCGAAATGTGTAGAGCCAGCCAAAAACCACTTCGGTCGGGTAGCGGCAACGGCGGTAGTAGTGGTGCAATGTCCAAACCCAGTAAAAGTGATATATTGACCAGCCCACGGAAAATTCGCTGTTCTTGTTTGTTGATTACATTAAAGGGAAACAAACGAGGAGAATTCCTCTGAATTGAATAATGGCACAGCGTATTTCCAGCCCGTCTATTATTATGGGAACAACAAGCAACATTCGTTCGAGCGACCAACCACATTTATCGAAATTGGTTAGTCTGTTATAAGGTGGGCGAGTTATTTCAATGTAGATGCTACTCCTGCTGGTACAGTTAGCTAATCACTAATTCTGGTAATATCACCGGTGAGAGTTGAACTGCTTTTGGGTTGGACATTTCATTTCGACAGACAAAAATTGGTGGGGACATTCATCGCTGTTTTGGACTGAATTAAACAAAAATACCTTCTAAGAACAAGTAATTTTCCACAATGCAGATGATAGATAACTGAATGTTTCTGTACAATTTTACTCTTCTTTTACTCCCACCCAACCCACCCACCCACCAACCACTCGGCTAATTGATGAAAGAACATTACATCATGAACCCCACTACCAAACCAACCTCTCGGACTTCATTAAGTTGTCGTTGACGTTGATGATGATCTAGAAACCGCAGCGTAGAGTAAGACCTTTCCTTACTGAGGGAAGGCCCATCTATCTCTCTCTCTCTACCCATCCGGCTACATACTTTGGAAAAATTTCATCAAGTAATTAGTTCTGACGTTTAATCGTCTGATAACATAATTTCATCATCAACTCCACTTCGCATCATCGTTTCGGTGCATAATGGGATTAGCTGTGCTCCTCTTCTTCTTTCCATCCCATTGTATTTTCTTGCTTTGTGTCCCGGTCGGTGGTGGTGCACTTTGTTACCCAATGGCAAAAGAATAGATAGATCGTGGTGTGGATATATAGCTCATCTTTGCTCTTCCTCACTTAGTGTAATGGGCACGGTGGGTCATGGATAATGCGAGATAATATGGGATTCATAGCTACATATTCGTATTTATTTTACCTTCTGCCCTCAGCAGACTACATACGCTACACAAGCTATCTCACCGTTCCGTCCATCCATCCATCCATTAGGTGAACTTTTCTGTTCTGAGGGAAAAAATTGGGCCATAAAACTTGGTCCGGAGAAAATTATTTTTGTACAAAAAATGCCATATTTCTCTGACGTCGACCTCACCTTACCGCATCCATAAGGAGGTTTGCTTACATCGTTGTAGTAATAATGGTGATATTTGGAGGGATGTGATGTTAGTGAGTGAGTGAGTTTTTCGAGTATTTTTGTGCTTTTGACGCATTTAGACGTGGTGGTGCAATATGTATGAGGGGTAATGTCAATAATAATAATAATATTGTTGGTAAGATGCATTTTGTGTAGTAAAGAGTCATCACCTCGTGCCAGGTATGTCAGAATGTGTTCCTCTAATAACGCAACATTATGTGATTTACATGTACATAGTTAATGCGCTTCTTGGCTGGGGAAGAATGTAAAGTACTTACATACTCGTCGACTATTAAATGCATGCGTCATACATATGGACAAACTCCCATGAAAAATCTGGCAAATTGGATTTTCCCTACACTTCTTTTTTTTAGGTAGATACATTTTGAGTATGAAAGCATTTGCCATTTAATCAGGAGACAATTGCGATTGCTCTGAAATACATACATATAAAATGATTTAATAGTGGAAACATTAGGTATGGATTAGGAAATGATTGGTCGTTATTTAATCTCCCGACAGCAGGTCAGTTTAGCTGAGTAAACCGAAATCGGTTTCATTGGGAAGTAAGATTTGAGTCAATATTGTCCCTGGGTTGTCAACTGGAACGACGGTTGTTCTTCCGTCCGTCGCTTGTCGGTCAGGGCTAAACCTTTGTTTTGCTTTCATTGTTACTCGCAGAATCCAGAATCATGACAAAGTGTATAAGTGGTGGTGAACAGCGTTGCGTCGAGGCATTTATTTTTCGAGGTCTACTTTTAGCTAGACAGACAACTAACATTACATTATTATAGCGGAAGCTGCACGTTCATAATGACGGAGGCAGAGCGTTTATGTACAACGATATTTACAATTTACTCTCCATCCACACCACACCACACCATGTCCGTTATGAGGATTGACTTGACGATTCATGATAATGATTATTATATAGTTGCCAGTGGTTGGTTGGTGTGGTGCTCAGACTTTGGAGAAGGACTAAGCACTTCCGGTCGTCGTTGTCATCTCGTCGTAGTTTTTCTACGTTTTTCCAGTCAGAAAATGTCACAAGTAACCAAGTATAAAAGCTGATTTGGAATTTTTCTATCCAGAAATACATGAACCCAACCACCCCGTTTTATTCTGAGTGAGTTAATAATAACACGAATTGATTTCCAGTTGACATTTAAGGGAAACTATTCCATTTTAAATTTAGCATAATATATATGGGCGTCTCCCAAATTAGTCCTGGAATTGAAAACACCTAGATATGTATCGAATAGTTGAATTTCTTTTCAATACAAAAAACTTTGAATGCTTGCTTTTTAAAAATCCTCTCCTTTTCCTTCCAATACAAATTCCTCAACTATAGTCATTCATCATTATTTGTTACTAACCACCGCCTACAGCAGATACATACAGCTACCATTCCAACTACAAAAGCGGTATCCAAGTCTATTAATTCTATTCAGGGCAGGGCTGCTGGGATATAAATTGTTCAGCTTCTCCCGTAAAGAATAGCCCCCACCAACCATTCTGATGGAATCACACAATGCGATAATGGGTCAGACAGCAGCAGCAGCATACGTGTGCATACAACGGTGCATTATTATAGTCTCGCAGTCCTATTACTTTCTCTTCATCTATCCATCGGCATTTTCTCCCTTTCACAAGAAGAAGGGAAACCATATCCAAAATTTAACGAGGCGCGAGGGTGAAAGTACATTCGTCCTCCTATAACCGAACCTCGAGAGGAAGAAGGAAGAGTGTACACGACGGAGAAGGAAATGTCAGTGGATGGATGAAAGTCGTTTATGCGCAAGAAGGGGAAAGTTTTCTTTCACTTCAGTGAACCCAACCTGCCTTGTGCGTATGTAATCGGCTTCCAGGTTTCGTTTGGGGCGGTGAAACCGTGGAGACTTTCTTGGCAGAAAAGTTGAAAGTACTTTCTTCCTTCGGACAATGAACGGAAAAGAAGAGTCCAATTCTTCGGTATGGAGGATAGAATTATGGGAAATTTTGTACTGATCTTTTTTTAAATAATTTGGTGCATTCAAAACTTGGTTATTGTATGTGCTAATTTTAATTTTGAAGCAGTAAACAAAATCTGTAACGCAATTGTGTAATGGAAAATTAAAAACCTTTGACATTTCCAACATACTTTTTTCCATACACAAAACAATAATTCAGTTTTATTGACATAAAATTGAATTTAAAAGGTTGAAACAACGTTGTATCTTGTCCAGAAAATGTTCACCTATGTAATCTTCAATTAAAATACACATATTTGAGTAAGTGTAATAGAATGGCAAATTTCAATAAACATGTCTTGCGTAACATATTTTCAGTTGTCCAATTGCCCACCCAGAAAATACGAATACATCTGTTTCATGCAATATCGCCTAAAGCATGCATACGAATAAGGGAAATGTCGATGGATGGATGAAAGTCACTTATGCGCAAGAAGGAGAAAGTTTTCTTTCACTTGCTCCACGAATAAACCAAACCTACATGTTACAGTATCTTGGTGTAGGCGCAATTAAAGTGCTTTCTCTTAAGAACAAACGGAAAAGGAATCTATGGAGAATTAAGTGATTTTATTCCTTTAATAGTAATGATTAGTTATTTGTTTTATAGCATTTTTTCACAAAAATATCTTGAACAATTCACAATTGTGAGATTGGCTGGACAGAAAATATTAATTAGCAAACAAACTTAAATTTCGAGAGACTTCAAGAGTCACGATGTTTTATATTATGTTTATCTTGATCGATTTTCTATTAAGACAAGAATATAAGGAGAGGTGATATAATTATTTTATTTGGACTATATATGTAAATATACAAAAATTATACTCACGGAATGTAATCTTTGTTAGTTATTGTTAACGCTAAGTGCATGAAAGTCGAGAGCAAGCTGTTTCATGACTTTCTCATCGTCCTCAATCTATTTTACAACATCCTCATCCTCACGATTAACTTGGTCTGACTTGAATATTCGATGAAGATCTGTCTCTCGAATTTTCTCCTTGATGAAGGCCAGAGAGGCTCTATGTTTTGACCATACGTTCAGGAGACCGTCGTAGGTCTCTTTCATCACTAAATTTGAATTATAGAAATTTTAAAATGCGTAAAACTTCAAATGCATAATTTTTAACCTTTTCTTTTTACCTTTGTCAAATCCACAACGTTTGAATGCTATTATGGTTTCATTGAGTTTATCATATGCATTTTCATGAATTTCAAGTTTTTCTTCAATATTTCCTATAAATATGTTAAATAATGTTAATAATTTTGTTTCTGTAAGAAAGTATGAACATTTACACATATAAAATACCTTCAATATTCTGCATGATGAAGAATCTGTTCGATCTAGACTCAGGCAATGCCTAACAGCAATTATTTATTTTACTTTATCTTACAATTAAGAGCAATAACTTCTAGCTTAAAATCACAAAACTTTTACTACAAGTTCGTAAATTCATAAATGAGAAAAGGCAAGCTCGCATCCGAATAGGTGGGTTTTATTATCGGATAGAATTTGCATAAATATTGGTATTTCCGTCTCCCCATCTTGTTTAGTCAACATATTTCTTAACAGATAGTGTATATAAGTTACCAGTTCGATTTTAATGAATGAGAAATAGACACGACTGACAGAATGGTATTTTATATTTAATAATTTTAATCGACTTACCAATTTGAATTGTATGCACATCTTTAAGCTCAAGGATGCAATGTATTTTTAATACGAAACAATATGCACAAACGTGAGTGGAGTAACTAACTGAATGTTGAACTTTCTGTTCAGGTCAACGAAGGGTCTCGTTTTATTTTTAGTTTAAATATTTTTGGAACTAATACAAACACTCTAAAATGACCTGAAATACCAGTGTGCATACAATTATATAGTGTTAAATTCTATGCAGTCAACCCTTTTTTATGCATATATAATTTTCATGCCTCATAGTGTAAATAAAAATGGTTGCAGACTATTTTTAGAAACGCTGGTCAAAGACATCCTCCTATATCTGTATCTAACAATAAGTGTACAAACGTATATAATTCAAATGCGCATGGCTTGTCTAACATCCTTTGAATTGTTCCTCCGACAAAATACAACTGAAACCCTAGAAGATCCTTCCTTAATATACTAACCTAACATACAGTTTCGCATTTTACGTGCATACACATACGTAACCTACCCGTCAATTCTCATTCTTAACTTTTTACAATGATTGTGATTGCACTGCATTTTGCATCAATAACTGCATCACTCACTCACTTATACTTTCGCCTTTTTCCACAACAGCACACGAAAGAGTGTCATGTCACGCGAAGGTGAACGTAATGTAAGGCGAAGCGTTATTATTATGAACGCAACGTGTGTGTGTGTGTGTGTGTAACGCAATGAGTTCAAGTTTTACTTTTGCCCACCCAACTACATAAACTCCACAAATGCGTGTGTACGGCTAACTAACTATTAAAAATCCCTGCCTCCATATGTATGTGCATACAGAGAGGAGTCTTTAGCTGAGCTTACATCATCCGAAATTATCATCCTTGACCATCCGTTACACTATTTTGCCCCCCGATTTTTTTGTCATACTTAAAAATTCCAAACCAACCCACACATAAAATGAATGAAAGCAAGTGTACATCAACCCAAATGGATTTCACTTCCGCTTACTTAATACGAGTATAAAGGGGAGAGAAAGCAATATCGTGAAAGTAAAAGTTTCCCATAAAAAACATCATCCCAGATGATTTTGGAATGCAGCAGCAACTCGTTTCCTTGCACTAAAAAAGGATAAAGGTTTTTAAAAATCATCCTCCATTCACCCACAACAACGAACCAGCCCGGTATATCATTTCAATATGGTAAGAGCTCATTACCAAGAAAGGCACGGGCTTGTAAAATAGTAGTCGGGGTACACATGTAGCTCGTACTTTCGAAAGCAGCAGCAGCAGAAAACTGCTTGGAGTAGTAGAATGGACATGTCGTGACTAAAACGCATTAAGAAAATGCTGTGTTATCTGCAACAGTAGCTTTATAATACTCGTTCAATATCTACGACGGACGGATAAAGAACTTTACTTTGGTGAAATAAAGCTCTCGCTCCGTTGGGTTTGCTTACTTTTCGTTATGAGATTGCTTCTGCTCGTCGTCGTCGTCGTCGTCCCCACCAAAACCTTATTTCACTTAAGCTAGTTACTTTGCTTCTCTGAACGAACGGCATTATATTCGCTTACTTGAACTTGTAGTGGTTAGTTGTATATATACTTATGTACGTGGCGTTGTATGTATAATTCTAGCCAGAAACGATACAGCACCGAAAAACCAGATTTTCAGAATATACTTACCCAAAGGAAAGGTAAAAAGAGAGGAAAGAGTTGGGCATAAATTTATCAAGGGGGGACATTACATTAGTTGCGGATTCGAATCTGATGTAAGCAAATATGGAGAAATTGCTAGGATTTGGGGCAGAAAACAAGTCTAAAAATCTTAATTGGATTTGCATAACTGTCTCAATCACACTTTTAAAATTTGCAGTTCTGTTCAGCCATGTTTTCTTCCAAGCTATAATAGCCGATTGCATAAACACCGTGAAAAAACACCTTCTATAATATTTATGTAATAGTCTCCATCTGACCAATCCAATCCAACGGTCGAGTGGTTAAGCAAATTACGCCAACATTAATTTTCTTGCACACAGTTATTAGCCTTGATTTATGGGCATCATCATGGACCAATGAGAATAAGGAAGAAGTGAAGGAAGATGATGGAAATCTTCTGCTTAAGACTGCGGCAACCTGTGTACCTGTATTACTACAAAGTCTCCTACTTTGGGTCAAGGAAGGACACTTTATTCAACCCTCTAAAAATGGGTTCAATAATAATAACTTTTTTTATCATCATCATCCGATCCTCGCCTTTTCGTATAACAATCTTGGAGTGGAATAATAAATAATTGGTGGACGGACGACTATCGTTAAACCATTTTAATAATAACTGTAATCAGCTCAAGGAAGACCTTAAGGTCAGATTTGAAATCGGGGATTGGTTAGTCGTTCCATCAAGATATTTTTGTGGGTCGAACGTACATACATACAAATACTTTGTTGTAGTTGGAATTCAAGATCAAGATCACATACATAACCAGCGAACCCTTCTGGTATTGAGATCGTTGTTGTTGGAGAGAGAATTCGTATGTATGCAATTGCTTGCTTTGTTGTTACTGGTCTGGTCCGAATCTCCATTTAATTCTACTTAATGATACGTGTGCTGCAGAGATAGATTCTTGTCTGGTGGAATTAAAGCGGTCGTATGGCGCCTTAGCAGCGATCGACAACATTGCTGCACTTTGTGTTACGTATAAATGCATACACTCATTTTCCAGGGTGCCTGCCTCGCCCTGAGCAAATTATTATCCTCGCTTTACGCCATCATCCTTTAAAAAATTAGTGGAAATCATTATATTAGGTCCGCCTTAATTCTGCTGGGGCAAAACCAATTGGAAATCAAAGTAGATGTCAGACTTTAAGAAAAAAATATGTGTGTAAATCGTTCACACATTAAGGTTTGAGATTCAATTTATTATCATCTTCGTTAAGTGTGTGACGAATTCAATTTTTTTTTGTACTTTTTATTATTTGGAATTTATCGATTTTTACTTTAAATTCTTTTCCACAAAGATTTTTTTTCTCCTGTGCTGGTTAACCAACCCTTTAATTGTTTTCCAGCAGAGTAGTTTGTATGCAAATGCGTGCCATATTTCTTAATGCCGTTTAATTTCGCCATGAAGTTGGTTTACTTGCGGGGTAGAAAATTCCTAGTTCGCCGTCTCTCTAACCAAACAATTTAAAGCACATTAATCTTGCAAACATTATTACTCACCAAGTGAGCTTGTCGACGACGAGGACGACGACGAGCAGAGAGCTTGTGTTAAATCAAGCTCAGCAAGTTGGGTGATTTAGACATAATTTCGATATGAAAACGCTTAATGTTCTCTAAATTCATGCCTTGGATAGTTTTCGCTTGTATACTCGCTGGCATAATAATTTGATACTTTGCTTCATTCAAGTCTGATCAATACTTACCCCCGTTGTTGCCTTTATGTTCTTTTCTCATTAGACTGGCAGAGAAATGTAATCAGCTCAACGACGGTGGTGGTGGTTTAACTCTTTGGTAAGTTTTGCTGCTTATGCTCACTTTCCCTCACAATTTCGTAAGTGGAACCACCGACTGAACCTGACCTGACCACACCGCCGTAGGTACATATGTACATGCACATATTTATTCTTCGTATAGCTCGAAACAAACGAGTCCGTCAACTTGAGGGAGGTGAGTGCAAAAACAAGAGCTCGTAGCTCCAAAGGGTTATTTTCTTGTCAATCGGACTCATATCATTATACGAATGGTGGACAGGTAGGCATTTATATGTTGGGGTTTCAATCTGGTCGGTATATGTATAAAGCATACCTATCTTCGCATCAAACTATCACGTACATAGATCCAAAGTAAAGTGCGAAAATCCGTAAACCCATAAAGTTTGATTGTACAGTCCGAGATTAAACGATTTTACTCTGACCAAATGGAATATCAGAGTCAGGCAGCAGAAGCAATATTCTGGGAAGGAAAGGGTAGAGGAAATCGGGACACAAAAAATTGAGCGAATGACTGACTGCAGATATCATTATGATGGATCAGAGGAGTCAATTTTGAATCGTGTATACGTACTCTTTTTCCATATACCACCAACAAATTGACTGACTGACCCAGGCCTGACCTCCCCACTCAATTCTGCGAGATTACCATCGTCTAAAACGTGGCACCTTTTGATTTTGATTTCTCTCTCTCTCTCCTAACACTGTAATTATCCTTGCTGCCAGAGCCAAAACTGGTAAGTAAGCAAGGTCCAAATCCACCTCGGTCTCGCCGTCTTGGTCAGGTTCGGGTGAGAGTTTTGGGAGAAATAAAATTGATTTTCTGTTACTTAGTAAAACTACTACCATTCGTATGTATGTACGTAGCTTATGTTTCTATTTTATTCTCATCTAAGCACTACCACATGATTTATTTGCTCCTACGATTACTTGAGGTTGTCAAAAGGCAGTAAATTTTAGCATCGCAAAACTGCTACATGGTTCCACACTTATTCCTCAAATTTGCAGAGACTTGAGCCATAAAATCTTGGAATGGGTATAACACCATGCATGATATAAAATGAGCTACGGAAAAGAAGAATTAGAAATAGCTGACAAAAATAATAGACTCATTAAACTCTGCAGTTAGTTATTTGCTTCGAAATCCTCACACCTACCAATTTCCTAAACTTTTTCAAGCTACTACACAGAAATTTGTACGTATGCACATATTTGTTGGTCCGAATCTGGGAGTACTTTATTGAGTTGTTTGGTGTTTAAAATGTGTTTAAAAAGGGGATGATGATTCTTTTCCCTGTTGTATTATTTCTCCGAGTCGTCGTAATGGGAGTTTTAAACGAGTCGTAAAAGTCACTTGTTCAAAAAAACGCTATCTTTGCCATTTTATTTCCTTCTGTCTCCCTTTCGACCAGTCAGCCTTACTTACTGCACTTTGCTGCCTTTAGTAACTTCCTCATCGTCATTATTATCTGACGAGAGGTGCAGATAACAACTTATGTATGTATGCTATACCAAAATAAGGATAAAATCCAAGGCTGCAAGTATTTCGCAAAAACTATCCAGAAAGAAAACCTATGATTTTGCTGTACAAGATATTCAGATATTTAAACTCTGCAAAAACAAGTATTCCCTCCTGTCTACGTAAATTGGCACTTTTGAAAATTAAAATTTAATAAGTCGTTAATGGT